CCCCCCCCCCCCCTCCTTCGCCTCTTACGAGGGTACTTTTCATTTAACGCTTTAACTTGTTTTTGATAAGCCATCAACGAAAGGTGATGTGGGAAGTTCGATGAGTACAAAAAGCCGACCTTTTCGGCCTCCCATGATTTCCTTGAGCTTAAAATCATCTCAATGATATCAAGCGCGGAGCGAGAGTTCAGTAGCGATAGTTGGCCATGTGACAGGGTCGCGTTTCTAATACATCGCGTTTGCTGGTCGCCATCACAACCGACCGACATTCGTTCTACACTTTGTCTGGGGGGAACCGCCGACATGTCACGCATTCCACCGAGCCGAGCGGCCGTTGCTGCGACTCATAACGCCCCCGCCTTGGGACGTCATCATCCCGTGCGCTTACCCTGCTGGCTGCTGCAACGGGGAACTGCTGCTGTTGCAGAAGCAACGGCGGACGGAATGGGGGCGCTGCTGGTTGAGGTGGCCGCTCGCGGTAGAGCTCATCATCGGCGCCGTTGAGAGAAAGTGCGCCCTGGCAGCCGATAAGCAGTTCAAACATCAAAACATCGCCAACTGCACAATCAAATCGAGCACATATACACGTAGGTAATCACTGACTTCTACTGAAGTTGCTCGACCAAAGAATGTACGGCTTATCCCATCTATCACTCCAAAAAAATCTGTATGCGTTTGTAACGGCGTCATGTGACACTACCTTGCCATACCTCTGCAATTTCAATAGCAATTACGAACACATGGCTCAATCGAGGAGAAGAGTGTGCCCTCTTGCCTCATCCCGCATACTACCTGTGTTTCTGCTTCAATAAAAACTAGATGAATTATATTTGATCGATTTCAGACAGATGAACTCATTCAACTTGAATTCGAGCCGGACAACTCGACATTAGTCGTTCAAGCAATCGCCGCCGGTGTATCGGTGGTTTTGATGATGTTGCTTGGAATCTGGGCCACATGCCGTAAAAACGGCTATTCAGATGACTTACAAAAAGTATAATTTCATAGGGTAATTAGTTGATTCGCACATATACCTGTAATATGTAGAGTAACAGCTTGTATTTTACGAACGAATCGTTAACTTCAGTTTTCATTGTCAGGAACATTTTTGATCTGATAGATTATATTTGATACCATGTTATATGTCAACAAATCGTATTACTTGTAAAACTGTCAATAAAGTGCTCTTACTAGTATGAGAACCACTTAATTCGCAGTGGTACATGTTCACTCTGCGGCTTCATGTCACGAGAAACCTATGGCAATACCGTGTCGGCCGGATCGGTAACGTCACAGAGTAGATGCTAAACATGTCCTATCAAACTCATCGATGATTGGCGGATTGCCTGTGAAGTCCAATCAGGATTGAGCGCTCAATGAAAAATCAAAGCGAGCCATTTGAAGAAAGGAATTGAGCTACGCTTTTTGTAAAATCGATTATTTCAAGGCCACTGGTGAGTAATACATCAATCCATCCATCCATCCACCCATCAATCCATACATACATACTTACCTATCTGCATATATACATACATATATACACACATACTTACTTATATATACATACATGCTTGTATACGTATATATAAACT